AAACGCGAGGCACTTAAATGTGGAAATGCTCACTTTTGAAGTGGAAGTACAGTCGGATGCGATATTTCTTTCTTGAACTCATACCGAAACACGACTACATCGTCAGAGCATCAAAAGCCTCGCATAAACGTTTAAAGATCTATATGATTTTTTTTTGTTCATATACCAATTATATAACATGCGATATTATATCGATAGTATTTCGATATTATTATATTCATGAGTTGCAAAACTTAAGCTTTTTTGATAAAAATTCTATGTGTGACAGTTTGTTTAAAATAAAGCATCAACATTTCATCATCATTAAAACTATTATAAAATTTTTTATCTTTTTGCATTCATGAATAATATTAGATGACTTTTAATATATAAAATCGCATAATTGTTACACGGGAACTTAGAATATGTAAGATGTAATTAGATAATTGATTTTATACATGGAAATTGAGGAATTTGCATATTCGTGTCTTGTAAAGGTGTGAATATGGAGAAATATAATAATATCATCATATCAAGATTTTAATCATATTACAACTTTGCAGTGTATTTCCTCAGTTTAAAGATAGATACATGCATTTGAACTTTCTTGCAAAGAAACAGTGATAGCACGATATCCCAATATCTGATTCAATGACGAGAGTTAGAGCTACAAGACTAAATGAAATATCACGGTCGACATAATCGAATGCGAGGCGTACGTGCTGCGCAACGCAAAGCTATATCACACGTCTAAATTAGAGTTTGCAACGCAATCATTCATGCGTGTCAGTAATGTCGCGAAACGAGATTCCACCATGCACGCGTGTGTGTCCAGTTAAGTAATTTAATAATAATTATTCTCTCACACATACATATGTACACACAGAAATCGCAAAATGCGGCCCATCGCCACTGTCGACCGACTCATAAATCACTGGCTAACGCTTAGCGGACTTAGTCGCTGATCGTGATTTAACTAGCAATGTCAGTAAAATGCTAACAACTGCACAAAAGAGTCGATAAAGGGGAGCATTTGTGAATAAATTGATCGAGTCTTATTTATATGAGATAGCATTTTAATTGATATCATTTAATCTCCTTAAATGACTATTTAAATATAAAAAGCATAATAAGAGAGAAGAGGAGCGATATCCCTTTAGAGTTCGCAGATCGTGTTTCGATATGATTTATCAATATTAAATCTACTAAATTGACGCAACTAAATTTAAATAGTGTTTTAAAGTCCCTGATAATCGCGGAAAAATCAGTAGATATCCGTTTTTATAATTTTATTGTTAAATTCAATTACATGGCACTCGCTGTTTTTGGTCGGATGTGATAAGATGAGGAACGATCTTCGAGGAAACGATATGAATTCTAACTTGCAGTGAACGCGATTATATCGATCGTCATTATACAGGCACGAAGGGTTCGGTGAGCGGGAGCGTGTGGGTATATATAATGTGTATTATCAAAGTACACCAGGGATGCGTTGGCAAATCCGTTAGAGAAGAACATAATAGAGCCACGAATATTCCGTCACGCTGAGAAGATTTCTCTTAACGAAATTGACGTAAACAAAGCGATATAACGTAAATGTGAGAGTATCGTATTAATTAAAAAATAAATATGAATTTAATACTAATGGAATTTTTAATAATCGCTCTTGAACACATCGAATTTCAATATATTACAATTTAATAAATCAAATTGACCTACTTTTTCCAATTTTAATCAAAAGCGATCATTATCTCGCGCATTTCGCGAATTTTGCGACGCGCGAACAGCTTTTCATAAATACCAAGTCATGAATTAGAACATTTTATTTTTTTTAACGTAAACTCGATAAACGAGTGCTGAGTATTATTGGACACCTGTACACTCTCTCAACCTCAACGGTAATAAGGGGTTATTTGATTTTATCCACTCTTTGTGCTTTATCGAACTATACTCTAGTCGAGCGTATTCTACGGTCAGTTTCTATTTGCGGCCGTAATAATCTAACATAGTCGCCAACTCTCTCGTAAAGTTCGCTCTCTCGCAAACGTGGAAACGAATCGCTCGGCGAGCTTTCTGCGTTATTCATTCGACGCCGCCGCCGGGGCAAAGACTCACGCTCGACCGCACTCGTAAATTATTTCCGGGCGAAACGAAGTAGCTGAAATACGTACAACCTGCATGAAATCCCATTTTTCCTATCAAATACGTGCCCACGCGATTCTTCGGACTGCAAATAACCGCGGGTAACTACTTTCCAAATACTCCTTTTGCGATAAGGCACGCCGTTCGCACAGCTGATAGCATCTCAATTAGCACCTGTCGCGTCAAAAGCGTCGGCGGAGCGATCAAACGGAGAATTAAATACTAGAAGAACGATCGAGTTGATGCCATCTACGATATGCCATGTATGTTGAGTACAAGATTATCCGCGTTTCGCGAAGGTAGCTTGCGCGATGATATCGATAGTGAAGCGTATATGCGAACGTGGCAAAATATACGTGGATGGCCGCTTCGAGGAGACATCCGGAAATCTCTCGGAAACTTTAGAACGATCCGAGTGTGCGGAAGGCATCGGGTCAACTGCCACAAATGCACTCTGGACTTTTGGGGTCGTCTCGGTGCGTTTTCATCCGAGAACTCGAATCCTCAAAGCGACATACAGTGAACGCCGTCAGAGTTTCGCGTCAATAAAGAAACTGGAACGAAAAGAGACGCGTCGTCTAGAAAGGATAGAGAATGAAACACACATGCACTCGAAAGGGATGAGACGACACGCGATTGCCCAAAGCTTTTCACTCGTATACCGGTAACAGTAAAACTCGAAGCATGATCGCTCGCGCACAGAAAGAATTATCGGAACGATCGATGGACAAAGGAAATCCAGCATACTCCAGTTCGACTTTCTTATCGTTTTCGACAAGTTCTTTTCATCGTAGACAATAAAATGTTAGAATAGATTATTAAATAAGATATATAAAAGTACTCGTATTTGCTTCCACACACATATACATACACGGACAATATACATATATGGTATACATATATATGTTTCGAAAAAGGGAGGCAACCCCTCGTGGATATGTAGAGATTGTAAAAATAATCCTATTAATTCCTATAAAATTTTTTTCTATGAATCTTTTATCACTTTATTGTTATCATCTTTTAATTTCTTTTAATCAAATATATTTTTTTTGAAAATATTTTTGACAAAATAAAACAAGAATACTCTTTTTTATAAAAAGAGGTGGAAAATTTAAAAATTATATTTAACAAAAAATATATATATAATAAAAATATATATATAGTACATATAAAAACGCTACCGGCTTTAAAGTTTTAATACGTTAAAAGATTTATAGGTAGTCTGCTTTTAGCTTTGCAATATTGTACAAAAAAGAATCTATCACGCTATTAAATAAAAATCTTGACTGAACATAAAAATAATTATTACAAATTATTAAAATCCATAAAGTGATATAAAAATTATTTAAAAAACATGCTTCTCAAATTTTAACTTTAAAGAAAAATATCTCGATAGAGATGCGTCGTAGAAAAAAATTTTATAGGAACTTATGAAGTTATTTTTATCTGCTCTACATGCCCACGAGGGATCGCTCATCTTTATCGAAATACCTCGCATATATATACATGTATATACGTTTTGCATGGAATAAGGAATGAAAGTACAATGTATCAACCATCTTAATAGACAACTCTCTCGCCTTAAACGGCTAACGCATAAATCTTCGCTTATCCTTTTAACTGCGTGTCAACGTAAATGGCGCATTTTCGCACGTGCATAAATTACTCCTCCACTCGAATCGCTTAGCGGCAACAATGAGAGATACCTGGTATCGCCCCGCGCGCGCGATATAAAGGCAAGCTTCGCGCGTCAGTGGCGATTTGGATCGTTAAAGGCTCGTCTTCCCGACGAGACGAATGCGGTTAGCGGCGCGCCGCGGCGCCGGCGTCCTCGCATCCGCCCAAGGATTATGGATGCGTTCCACTTCCGATAACGCGCGAAACGTGAAGGCGTTATGCTCTCGCCCCCTCCCCCCTTCCTCTCGTGCAGCACGTTCCGCAGCCGCACACCTCGTCGAAGTTGGCAACAGCATCTGGAGCGTTAAGGGTGGATGAGCGATGTGCCGGTGTCTTGCGGCGTGATGGATCGTCCAATACCAGCCAATATGCAGTATTGCACGTGGAGTGGCAAACTGGTATCCATGCATCAAATCGGCGGCAGAGCGGGCAAGGGGAGGACAACGGACGGACAGGGAGGACGGGCGAAGGGAGCGCAAGTTTTGTGTGCTCTACACGACACGCTGCTGCACACACTATCGTATGCTCGGTCGCCTCCATCGTGGTCAGAGAGAGGGTTCTTGCCGTTCTTCCTAGTACTACCATAAGGTGCATCTCCGATTGCAGGGATAGCTAGACATATATATATGTATGTATATATACGTATATATAGGTATCCCTGCAATATATATATATATATATATATATATATATACATATATATATATATATATATATATATATATGCACACATATACGCGATTTTCTCTCGGTAAGAACGTAGGATATACCGGTGCTGCGAGCTACGTGGTCGTGCCATGTGTTTGGAACGTCAGGCAACCAGACACGTTTCTCGAGACAAGTTTTTGCTGTCTTATTTTATCCGAATGTGCACCAAATTGTATTCACTTTTCTGTTTAACAGATTGTTCTAAAAGGTTAAAGTTCGACGAATAAAGAAAAAGAGGAGGAAAATGAGATAAAAGAACGCGATGATATCTAAAACAACGAGGAGTTTCATATTAAATAAATTTCCGTACGCAAGATGATGGAATATACGATTTCGTGCGACAATAATTCGATTTCCTGTCGCACGTTGTATCGAACCATTTCTGCAGTTGTCTTTAATGTCGCCGCACTTAACGTCGATCCCTTATCGAATTTCAACAAATTACTCTACAATACTGAACTCGATAAACGTGACGGGAAGAAATATTGGCTTACCGAAACGTCAGAGTGGTGAATGGTCGATAACTCTTATGACTATTGATGCTTTCCATCGGCGTGCCCCAGAAGTCATCGTTGAGCACGCTACTCCACGATGCCTCGCCGATCACGTCCCTGTTCCTCACCACCGCCGGTATATCATCGTGTACGAAGTCGCAGTCGAGTGCATTCAGGTAGCAACCAACCGCGACGAGGGCAACAGCCGCGTAGATGCACCATCCGGGTGGCTCGTTCGTCTCAGTCCCGTTGCATCCACCGCGCCCGCTTCTCTTGGTCGACGTTTGATAGAAGCAGGAGGAACCGTTATTCCGTCGCTTCATGTTATTCAGCGCTGCTTGATACCACGCACGAGACAAGCTCTCACGTTCGTTTGAATCGCGAAGCCCGGAGCGCGATCACTGTCATCAAATTGCGAACTGTGCGTTTTCCGACGCCGTTATCTCCTGCGCGGAATTTGATCGCACTGTCCCCTGTTACTACACCGATCGGAATCAGTTGACTCTCGCATTTCTAAGACGAGCGCACAGGGGAGAGTTTACACGGTCGAGAAGACGTGCTATGTCTCCTCGACGTTTAAGGGTCGCTACTAAGTGCCACTTCGATCGCGAATACCGGCACACATTTCACCGTACTTATTTTATCGATAATCTTGTGAGTAGATAAGTCGTAAAAGTCTAAGGATAACACATTGGCTTTCGAGTAAGCTCCCGATCGAGCCAAGGGGACATGATTCCTGCGTAACCCTCGTCGAAATACGACGCGATATCTTGCGGTGCTAGCCGGTGCCTCGCGTTGGATTCTCCCATTTAGATCGTCCTCAAACTATACCCCGAGCATTCGTTCGTCTCGCGGTGAGCTTGATAAATGACTGCGGGGGTTCATTATTTATCGGGTCGACCGACCCGAGACCGTGTCCTAGATGAAGGGTAGCGGTGGGTTTCGCGCGCGAACCTCTCGCTACACGACTCGAATAATAGCCCTTGTGCGTGGACTTTCCTCGGAAATTGTCCCCATGGGGAACCCAGGTGGATTCTTTTTACGTAACCGTGTAACAGCTCGTTACCACGCACGCGACTGGTATCGTGCCGATTCAGTCGCAAATCACTGATTCGTACGGTTCGTTACGGATTCTTCCGGCGGGGTGAAATGCGATATACTTATAGCTCACTTAGCGCGTGATTTAAGTGACATTAACGCGATGCTTCTGTAAGCTGCGGTTTCGTTTCGGAGTAAATCGCGATTCGATAGTTCGCATATTCACATATGCACATTGTTCGTCTACTCGGATCAATTCGTTTATAATTTCGATTACGCAAACACGCTCTTATCTTATATTTCACGTGTCCTTTTATCCAATATATAGCGTATCAATTATATCGTTTTTATCGTCCTAGTTTTGTTTCTCAAGCGTCTTACGAAAAGTCCAGATCGTTAATAGATGTTCTACTTTGTTGCAGCATCGAGAAAATTTCGTAGAATTATGGAGAGCAAGCTACAACGCCGAGAGGACGGCTGTATGACCCAGATATTCGTAGCGAGAACTCTTACGTCGCCACAATTTTACTGTGCATATAGATCTATACAAGCTCCTATCTCGCCGGGGGCACGGCTTGAAATCCTCCGCGGCAGCACCTTCATCTCCCGCCAACCCCCTGTTTCTCTCTCGCTATTGCTCGCTTTTCTATCCCCTTCCCGGCGCTGCTACCGCTCGGTCGCTTCTTTCTTGCTCCTTCGTCTTCCTTCGGCTTCACCTCTCGCGCCGTTGAATCCAATCTCTAGACAAGTATCGCGATAATTTTTCCCCCCGATTCCGCTTGGTTTGCAACCCAGAATCCCTGAGAAACTTCTGATGCCCCAACGATCTCACAGATTCTCCTCCTATTCGCTTCCGGTGAGATGACACTCGAGCGAAAAGTCGGGCATTCTCAAATGCTCCAGTGATAGTCTTTCAACGATTCATGCGACTTTTGACGAAGGAACGAGAAAATTTCACGGCATGGAAAATATGAACAACTTCCAATTATCAGTATTCGTTAGTTTCAATCTTATTCGAACTTACTGCAATAATCTATTTGAAATATGCAGCATCCTCATATGATTTATGATCTTTTCCTGCGTGAATGATCTATTTTTCCTAACTTTTAATCATCAAAAACGCTCAAATGCAATTGCAAAGGTAAAAAAGATATTTCCCTACTGATCGGTAGTATCGTCAAAAGTTGACGATGACGAATCAGCGCAGACACCTCCCAACGATCTGTCATCTGTTATCGCGCATTTTGCCGATCGACACGACGTGCAGATCGCTACGCACCGCACAACGTCATCGGAACGTCACAGATCACGACGATCGGCGTCGGCGTCGAGCTCGGACGGGTCGTCGCGACGACGATAAGCGCGAGACTAAGGGACGACGGCATCCGCCCGGTTATATACCCGACGCACTCTGACCCGCAAAGCCGCGCCCGCGCACGAGCCACCCCCGGGGCTTTCCCTCCTGCCTGCACTCTCGCGCGCCTTCCCTTTCTTCTTCTTTCCCGTTGGCCGGCACCTGCTCAACCTTGGACTCCACTGACGTCACGTTGTTTACCCTATGGTTCACCTGCCGAAATATCATCCTCAAAGGGGTTACGTTCAGTAAAGTAACGATGTAATAATTTGAAAAATGCTAATGAAATTAACAGTCGCTATAAATTCATTAAATATATATATGATATTTAATAATCATTAAGAAATGATAAAAAATGATAGTGATAATTAATAATATTATTGTAGAATTATCATTATATATGTTTTGTCTAATGGAGGAAGTTCCAATTACTCCACTTTATAGATTTACTTAGCGCTTTATTTGATCATTTTAACAAGTTAAATATTTAATTATTAATAAAGCTTCTAGAATTCATCGTGCTACGTCTCGCTTATATTATACAGTTAAAAGCACGTTGAATCTTACGAGCAAGATAACAAAGCATCGAGCAATTATTTATTACCTGTATTTCCTAGGATATCTCGAATCTAACAATACAACGAATCACGGTTCGCGAATCAATGAACGTAATGACGATACGAGCTCGTTACCGACGATGATGATACGATAACGAGCTCGTAGTGGCGAAGTGATGCTGCATGGTATGATTGAATTTGGCTACATCGCGTGCCATCACAATTCTGAACATATATCAAATTGAAATTACATGATATCAAGATACAGTCATGTATATATAATATAATTTTAATTATTGCCCCAAATCATTATCACAAGTGAAATAATTAAAGCGTAAACGTAACAATAACTCATGCGTGATTTATGTGTAAGCGTACAACGAGAACTTTGATATGATAAAATTATAAGGACATATTTAATACATTTCTATTCGAAAAAATGCATTTTAAATTGTCCTTTAAGGTAATAATGCAGGAACATATGTAAATATATATAAAATTTTGCAAGGTTAATCTAAAGATTTGTAATACTTTCAAAATTACAAAGGTAAACTCAATCATAAAAAAGATTATCAAAGAATAGAAATATTCACGTAAAATAATTATTATAATTGATTGTAAGATAAATCAGAATTTTCCTTGTCACTAATAAGCAAGTTTCTCAGGAAGTTATAATTGAGCAAGATGCTAGCATTCTTCGACCAAGAAACTTAATATTAGGGACATGACTGTCGCTCAAGTAATTCGCATAATGTACCTAGAGTTCGCAATTAATGATCATTTAGTGTAATGGCTCCGAGTAGCCGTCAGTGCCACGATTCGCAAGCGAGCACGGAACTTTGGCTCCCAGCATGCTGAACTTCCGTATGAATCCACTTTCAAACTACACAAGAATTTTTAATTACGACCCTATAGAACGAAAAACGCCACTTACGTGTCAAGTTAATGGTTCCCCGCACTCAAAGCATCGGAAGTACGCGGACTTGTCTCGCATGGCTCCTAACGAGTTTTTACTCCCCGCAAAAAAGATCAGTGCGATTAATCGCGATAACTATTTTATCCACACGCGCGATCTTTATTCTCTTTAAATCGCATTTATTACGTATCTCTCTGTGATATTTTATATATTTTTCAATATTTAAACGCCATTTTTTCCTTTCAACCTAGATATTTCCGTTGAAACTACGCTTAGCATGCAATGTCGAGGAATGTTTAAAGAATCGATCTGCCGGACGAGATTTTACGCGCGAAGATGACGCGCTTAAACCATTTCTTTGTGGACTTCTCGTTCAAGTATAAATTGGTTTTATGCTGTGCCGAGAAAGTTTCTAACTAGAAACTTATAGTCGCGGAACAAACGTCTGTAGACGGCACTGAAATATAGTGTTCTCGTTGCGTCTGAATATTCAGCGAACTCGCTCGCGCGCTACCTACTTCGTTATACCGGTTTAACGCTTGCCACTGTCTCTGACCGTATTTAATAATACACCTAATCGACGACGGCGCCGCCGATGCCCCATGAGAGGCAAGGTCCGCCGACGACCGTGAAAAGGCGTCGGTGGCCCGTAAGTAAGGGTGGTCGCAATACGAACGCGAGTGTCTTTATGAGCTTGAAGAAGAGCAAGAAAGAAAGAGGGATACGAAAGGACTTCATTTGAAATAAAGATAAAGGCAAGTCTCGCGTTTGCCTCGGTCTCCTCGTGCGCTTTCATTTATTAAACGCTGTGGCGTATCGAGCAATTGCTCGCCTCTTTCTCTCTTCTTTCTGTTCTCCTCGCTACCGGAGATATAAAGATGAACCGATGGCTTGCGCTGTGTTTCGTATTCTCGTACAGTAGTTTCAGCGAAAACAGTTCAGACGCAGTCTCATTCGTGCCGTTCGCCGGTTCCTTGTTTAAATTCTCGCATAAAGTATTCATTACTCCTTGGTTGTTGTTAATGCGTTACGTGTCGCGCTTCGTGTCTGTTTTATCGTCGAATCGTGAAATCGCTTCGGTTATCTTCATCTCGTGAAATATTTCGATTTCTCGGCGCGAGATAGCATCTTGGACTTGAAAGCGCAATGTTTCTGCGAGAAATCACATGTTAACCGTGCGGATACCTCGCTGTACGTGCCGTATCGATCGGCGGGTAATCTTAAACGCGAACCGACGCGAGAAATAATACCTATAATCCGTACGAGACACGCGAACGCGAAAGAGCATGCGAAACGTAGCTACGTCGGGTAACTCGGACAATCCCTCGACAATCGCGAATAATGCCGTTCGAGAGCTCGGTATTCGTGCGTTAACGAAAATCCGCGGCCTGGTCACTTGCAACGCCTCAACGGCAAGCCACAAGAAGTACGAAACTCGTTAACGTCACGTTAATGAATTCGGATGGCGGCGGCTTCATCAAAACAACTCTCACAGTCCACGAGGTTTCCCGACAGAGAGACCATTTCGTCGGCCACAATAGGACAACTCCGTGGACAATCAAAGGTGGTGGACATTCGGTCGGTTAAAGCGCCGCAGGAGAGAGGAATGTATTTAATTAATGCATTCGAGCAATGCGTTATAGAATACACATACACATACACATACATGACCGCATAGAATCGAGGATGGTATCGTGTATACATGCGGACTTACACGCAGTATATATGTATGTATGTATGTATGTGGCGAATGTTATCATATTCGCCGCAAAATTCGGCGGATTTCATGCCGATGTCCGAGTTGCTATTTCGCCAAGAAAGACAGAGCCCGCAATTTCCGGTAATGCCTCGTTCTCGCAGGAAAGATGCATCGACGAGATTTGAGACGAGAAGTGGGTGAGCGGAATCCAGACAAAAATTCTATCCTCGTGCTTCAAAAACATCCTCTTTACAGCCTCTCGTCTCTCTCTCTCTCTCTCTCTCTCTCTTTTCTCTCTCCCTCTACCTTTTCCTTTCTCTCCCTTATCTCTAGTCCACCGTAGGCAAGATCGCAGGCTTACGAGAGAAGGGCGTAGACGTTCCCGAAGCTACAACTGTCGGAGGAATCTCGCCGACGAGCCAGAGCAAGGTAGAGCGTAATCGGGATCTTACCCCGCCACCCGACACCCTTCACGGTACATGGGTAACTTGGAATGATTTCAAGCGTAGAGTTTCGGGCTCTGCCTTACTCCCCTTGGATGCCACCCAAGTGACAAGAGAGAGCTCTTTACACGAAACGTGGAAATATTAACTATTATCGCTTTGCACTGCAAGCCTAGTAGTTGTATCCTTTTGATAAATACCTCAAAAAATTCCGACCCTATCATGTATTATGGCTGAATAAATTTTCTCTTCAAATCTTGTTTTATCAGATAATTTAATCAAAGTGAACATATATCCTACTAATAAAATCGCATATTTATATCTTTTTGACGGATATTTTATGTCATAAATTTAAATTACTTGTATTAATGAAAAAATTACGTCGTAATATAAATGCAAGTGATATTCGATGTTTCTCAAAATGTCCACTCTATCGATGAATCAATCTGCATTGTGATACGATTTGCAGATAAAAGGCGGATAAGAGGATCCGGAAGAAGGCTAGGTAGATGTAATGAGAAGAAAGATCTCCTCGTCAGCTGAAATTCTCGTAGAACGTGTTCGTGTCCAACCGGCGAAGAAGTACACGCGAACGACTACGAGTACGATTTTAATTACGAGTTTATTCGCGCGCGCGCGCGCGCGCGGCTTCAAAGAGGAGGACATCGGAAGGGAGTTACACGAGATTCAAAAGCTCCAGATTAAAAAAAAAACGCATTCTACCTTTTGAGCATAATACACTGTCGCTGTAAGTCGCGCGAAATCACATTTTCGTTTCGAAGCGAGCGTAAATCTGCGTAGAGTTTTTGCGCTTGGAGATCCGTCTACACAACGATACGGCCGGGCATAGTCGATCAATATAATCGCATCGGTAAACGGATCCGGATGTGAAGTACCGATCCCGTTCGGACGGCTTTTGGCGGTGGAGCTTACGAGGCGGCTTACGCGCGCGCGCAAACGACGGTGCAGGTGATTTCGGGCTTCTCGAGAGCTGACCAAACAAGGATACGCCGAATTCGGTATAATAAATTCACGGCTTCCTTGTGATTGACTTGACATTATGTCGCAAGTTGTCGTAATCTCTGATCAGTGGCTTAGCAGTTTGAGAAGATTTGGCGAAATTGTCGCGGGATATACGATAAGGGAGTAATGGTTAGATGCGAGAGAGACTTTATGGACGAAGATACGCTGGACCAACCGGATTAAGGCCGGCCTTACAACGAACTTGTCGAATTACTTCCGGTTAAGTTCGTCCTGAAATTTCGAAGATGCGATGCCTGGGATATAATAGCCTTCGTTGCGAACTGCGCCGATAATAATTCGCACGGAATGTGAAGCGTGGAATTTCGAGTCGTAAATCAATTACGGGGACTCTGGAAAGCCTGTAGGTTAATGAGTCTGTCGGACGTCAACCGACAC